CAAATAACTGAAATTATGTTGTGCTAATTCTGTGTTAAAAAAAATCAGGGGAAAGGTTCGTTTGCTTATGCATGGGCATTAGATGAGAGTGTTGAAGAACGAGAAAGGGGGATAACAATGACAGTTGGAGTTGCTTTTTTTAACTCAAAGAAACACCATGTTGTGGTGTTGGATTCACCAGGGCATAAAGATTTTGTCCCAAACATGATATCAGGTGCAACACAAGCAGATGCTGCAATTCTTGTTATTGATGCATCACTTGGTGCCTTTGAAGCAGGTATTGATAGTGCAGGAGGTCAAACACGGGAACACGCACAGCTGATTAGAAGCTTTGGTGTTGATCAAATCATTGTTTCTGTCAATAAAATGGACGCTGTTCAATACTCCAAGGAAAGGTTTGATCATATTAAACTTCAACTTGGGGTTTTTCTTCGTTCTTGTAATTTTAAAGATTCTAATGTCACGTGGGTCCCGTTGAGTGCCATGGAAAATCAAAACTTGGTTGCTCCTCCTTCTGATGCTCGATTGCTTTCCTGGTTAGTTTTCTTTTTTCATTTTTCTTTTTTTCTATTACATGAAAAATCAAATTAAGCGTTATATCAATACAGGTATAAGGGAGGTAGTTTGTTGGAAGCCATAGATGCTCTTCAACCTCCTGCTAGAGAATATTCTAAGCCTTTATTGATGCCTATTTGTGATGTCATCAAACTCCCATCTCAAGGTCAGGTATCTGCATGTGGGAAGTTAGAATCTGGAGCTCTTCGAAATGGAACAAAGGTAGTTTACTTTACTTTACTTTGATTTCTTTCTGTTGATCTATTCACAATATAATGTGTTAATATGAAAAAAAATAATATATGGAATTTATAGGTTATGATTCTGCCATCTGGAGACATTGGAACAGTTCGATCATTAGAACGTGATTCACAGGCATGTAGCATTGCAAGAGCTGGAGATAATGTAGCTGTTACTCTACAAAATATTGATGCAAATGTTGTGATTTCGGGTGGTGTATTGTGTCACCCTGATTTTCCAGTGTCAATCACAAACCATTTGGAGCTGAAGATTCTTGTTTTGGATGTCCAAACACCAGTTTTAATCGGCTCTCAGGTATTATTTATTGGAAAAGACATAAATGCCCCCCCCCCCTCCTAAACTTACATATTATTTATTATATATACATGAGCAGTTGGAGTTTCATATACACCATGCAAAGGAAGTAGCAAGAGTTGCAAAGATTGTGTCTTTGCTTGATGCAAAAACAGGGAAGGTTACTAAGAAGTCACCAAGATGTCTCTTATCCAAACAAACTGCCATAGTTGAGGTTTGTTATTGTTAAATCTCGTAATCATGAGTTATTTTCAAATGTGTTAATTTATTTATTTATTTAATAATCTCATCAGGTAATGCTTCAAGGAGAAGTTTGTGTGGATGAATTCTCAAGTAGCAGAGCTCTTGGGAGGGTGTTTCTGAGATCATCAGGGACAACTGTTGCTGTTGGTGTGGTAACCAGAGTTATAGTAGATGACCAGAGTTAGTTATATTATCATATTTATTTATGGTATAACTAGTGTAGTAGTTGTCGTGTCTCATTTTGACCACTTTGACTTGATACATGCCCTTATAAGTTAAAACAAGTTGCATGCGGAAATGTTTTGTAAGTTGTGTTGAGTGTATACAATTTTGTATCCATCAGGCAGTTTGACTACTTCTGTTTCCATAATTTATGTAAACAACTTGTTTCACATGCCTGCAGTTCTTACTATATGAATCAAGTGTTAGCTTAGCTGAATAAATGGAATTTAAAAATATATTCAAGGATATGATAGCATTTTTAGGAAAAGCAAACAAGGGCAAATTTATAGCAAGTAAAGATTAATAACAAGAGTATTGTTTTCTTGATTTTTTATTAATGAAAGCTATAAAGAAAAGAAAAGGGACTTGCTTGAATCAAACTTTAGCCAAGACACATTTTTGTTATTGAATCCTTGTTGGATGAGGTCATTACCACTAGGCTAATGGTTGTCTTCGTAATTAGTTCCATCATTTTTAAATATATTGTAAACGCGTATAATATGTATTTGTTTGAGTTGAAAAAGTCACTGCAACTGTCGTGGTTATTACTTATTCCCTTTTTTTGTTCTTTAGCACTCTCGTCTAATGCCTAGGGTTAGCAAATGAACCTTTCCCCTAAATCTGAACATAAAATTAGCAACACACTTTTTGTTGTTTGTTTGTTATACATATCATACTAGTTTACAATATATATATATATATATATATA